CTGCGCGCTTCCCCTGGTGTAGGCTGGAAAGCAGTCTCTTGGGGACCAAGACACCGCCCTGAGGGCCTGCACAACATGATCAAACCATTGATTATATCATGGCTGACACCCAACCCCAGACAGAGGTGGAGCAGCACATCAGAAAGATTATTAAGGGTTTACTTTCTTCCTTGAGATACATTTCAGATTTTTGGGAAAAGACCTCAAAATTAGTATTCAGATTTTTGGGAAAATACCTCAAAATTAGTAGTATTACAACCTTAGGAAGGAGTGACACGAAGAACAATGAAAAAACTCCAATAGCATTCTTATACCCACACACGTCACTCTCTGAAGTGGATCCATGAGGGAGATGTCCCAGGATCGCCTTAGTGAGGGGAACAGGGGAATAAAGGCTTCAGGTCTCGAGGGTCCTGAGGTGGCCTGGACCAGAACAGTGTGACCTGAGTCACAGCAGTAAACTGGAGATGCTGGTTCCTCCCTCTCAGTCCTCAGCCCTCCAAGGCTGCTCAGGAATCCACTCTTGGCAATGCAGATCACAACACGTGGGCATCTTACTAAATACCATCGTCCCCCACACTCTCCTCTCCCCATACCCTCTGTCAGAGTCCATATGTGAGGAGGCGCTCTCTCTGTCTGCAATTCTGGAATAATCTATGGCCATCTCAACCCAGCGTCAGAGCAATTCAGATCTGGGAGAGGGGAAATTGGGAGAGTGAGTGGTGACGTGGGTGGTTATTCTACTCCTTTCTGATCAGACTGAGTTCCACACTACAGATTTACCAGCATCTGGGTAGTCGTTTTTCATCCATTAACTTGTAGCCTAAATGAAGGAAAAGCATCTTGGATGTCATCAGATGATACTAAAGACGGAGATGAGAGACATTTGAGAATTTCTCTCAAGCCCCCATCGAGGACTGTCTCCGCGGGCTCTCTTTCTGCCACAAGGAAACAAATCTTCCCCATCTTCACTGCCCTTCCTCCAATCTCCATCGGACAAGTAAATCTGAGAATCAAAGGCCATTTTAAACCGACCAGGTCCGGCCACATTAATGATTGCCTCAGCAATTCTTCTACCTGCCTCTCCAGAGAGAAGGAAAGAGGCAGTTCTTTGCCTTCTCCAGAGCTGGAGAGTGCTGGGTGTCTTGAGTGTAAGTTCACTTCAATTCCTTCCCATCTTTTCCCTTCTTGCTTTTGAGCCTTGCTCTAAATTAATGCTTCTCAAACTTGAATATGCAAAGGAACCAACTGGAAAGCTTATGAAAAGGCAGATTCTAATTCAGTAGATTGTGGTGGGGCCCAAGGCTGCTTTTTCAATAAGCTCCTGGGAGATGCCAATTCTGCTGGCCATGGCTCACAGCTGGAATAGAGGATCTAAATTCTCTTAGAGCACCCTCTGAGGCCTGCAGAAGACAATCCCTCACAGCCTGGACGCATTCCCCACCCGGTACACACATTACTCCATCAGATGCAGAGTTGCACTAAGGATTCCTTCTTTCAGCACTTGCCCCATCTCAGACCCCCGCCAGGCAGCCTCCCAGAGGGTTCCGCCCCTGACCATGCAGCCTTTGATTTCCTGTAGGACTAGGGCAGATTCGGACACCACCTGCTCAGAGAAGCTAAAAAAAGAAAAAGATAAAAAAGAGAGAGAGAAAAAAAAAAGAGAAACAGATGGCAAAAGAGTAGCTATCCAAGTCCTAAAAATGTAACTCTAGGGGGAAACTACAGCATAAAAAAGGAAAAATCTGACAAGGTCAATGCCAAGGTCACTGGAACCACCTTAAACTTTCCAGGAGGGGTAAGGAAGTTTAAGGTCACTGGAACCACCTTAAACTTTCCAGTTGGGGTAAGTAAGTATCAGAGGGAAGGGAGTCTCTGGTATAGCAACTGCATGAGTGGGAGAGGCATTTTCCTTTGGCAAAGATTTCTTGGTTAGCCTGTACCAAAACCTCTTTTCCCCATGGAAAGAAACTGAGAGCTATGAAGGGGAAAAAAAGCTTTTCTTTTCTTTTCTTTTTTTTTTTTAAAAGATGGAGCCATATGGAATTCTCTATTTTTTTCCCTCACACCATCTGGTTTGGGATCTAAGTACAGAATGGCAACTGCATTGACTCCGGAGCCAGCAAAGCTTGGAGCAACTGGAAGGCGATGCCCTGGCTGGGTTGGGTGCCCTCACTGTGGCCTGCGCCCTAGTCCTTATCCGCTCATGTGTGAGGTCTCTGCAGCAGCTCCAGAGATGAGCAGTCCCCATGTTCTGTGCTCCATCTTTTTTCTGATGATTTCAGTCAGTGCACACACGAAGCTGAAACTCTGTGTGGGTAGAGGCTGTTTCAGGATGTGGGAAGATCATCTTTCAATCAAGCAGGGCGATTTCATTTCTCTCCCTCAGGCAAGAGCCTGCTAGTTCACACAACTCCTTTGGCCCATCCCCAGCCACCTGAAACCATAAGCGTGCTACAACCTCACCAGACCGTTCTGGAACTACAAAGGCCCTGAAAACTAAGGATTTTCCTCCGTAACTCATCTGAACTTGCTCAGTGCCACAACCTGACCTGACTGGACAAGACTAATTGCAGCCTTTCTTTCTCTGACTTGGGCTCTCCAGAAAGGCTGTTGGGTAGGCCTTGCAGCAATGCCCACACTTGCTGGCCAAGTGGCACAGTGCACGGTGCACGTGCCAGGCTACCTTTCAAACCCAGCGCTTCCAAATCCCAAGATGAATCTGTGTCAGAAAAGAAACTGGGGCCTTACCAATATTCAGAACACCCACGTTCTGGTGTTCGGTCGTAGGGTCAAGAAAACACATGTCTTAGTCCAACGCTCTCACAGGGAACTGCTCAACACACAGAGAGAACTGAAGAGCCATGGCTAGAGGTCCCCGCCCCATGAGACACTGCGTTTACTCCTCAGTACACAACCCAGTGAATGGCAATCCAGGACATGCTCTGATTTTTTCTGGATTTCCTCATGGCCTGGTGATGTCCACCCTTCCTCAACTCAAGCAGTAGTTTCTGCTAACATTAGGGCTTTCTTTTCCGTTGTTTATTTTAAGAGAGATTTTTGCTCTAGGGAGCATGTGCTCGCCAGAGACAGAGACAGAAAGCAAGAAATGACATATGGCCAAGCTGCCATCTCTTCTCCTCCATTCTCCTCTCAGGATTTTTGGCACGCACACACAGGCGCCTGGCTTGAGTTTCAAGCTGCTGGGTCCGAGATTCAAATAGCAGTCTACTATGTGGGAGTCCAGCAAAGTAACCATTATGCCATCTGCTGGTCCCAGGGCTTTCTTGACATGTTAACAAATACCCTATTTCCTTGTCCCCTGCCCTTAAATTATGCACCTTTAATGTTTTGTGTTTTTTTGGAGGGTGGGGGTTTAAAAAACCTGCATTGAAAAAATAAACTGCATCAAGATATAATTTACATACCGTGAAATTCACTTGAAGTTTACAACTTGATGGTTTTGAGTAATTTTACAGAGTTGTATAACCATCACCACAATCTGCTTCTAGAACATTTTCATTACCCCACAAAAGATCCCTTCTGCTCATCTGCAGTCACTCCCCATTCCCCCTTTTCCCAACCTGCAGCAACCACCAAATCTTCTTTTGTCTCAGTGGATTCGCCAACTCTGGAAATACCAAATGGACGCCTACAACGTCTGGTGTGTGTGAGAGGTACTTTGACCGAGCACCATGTTCTGGAGGTTCATCCGTGTCGCAGCACATATTTGCACTCCATTTCTCACGGCCGAAGAGTATTCCATCGCACGGTACACCATGTCTCCTGGCAGTGTTCTATCGAGCTTCCAGAACCCCCAGACGCTTGAGGGGATCTACGAGAATGGGTGCCACTGTCACCTCTTGCTCAGCTTTTCCAGCCAGCACTGCAGAGGTGCTCCCAGAACCAGCACCCAGAGCCCCGTGTCAGATGAAGGCACACACAACCAGAGGTGCAGAACTAAACCCAACCTCAGAGCTCCTGTTACTTCGCCAGATGCCAACATTTAGGTTGAAAAGAAAAAGGATATATGCGTGAAACGAATTATGGCTTTTGTGACTTTGTCATTTGAGGAGTGTCTCCCGTGGTGCTCAGGGCTGCTCTTTCTACAGATGCACATGCTGCACCGTCACCTCTGACTTATTCCCAAGAAAGCGCACGGCCTTTAGGAGAAATGGCGCTATGGGCTGCCGCAAAACCTCAGCAGCTCTGTAAGCCTGCTGCTGTGCTGATCCGACCTACCACCAGCTCTTTAAATCCACAGTTACAGACCCTGAATTAGGATCACTGAGCTTTAGCTACCTGGGCAGAGCATTAGACACACACAGACTGCAGGAGCACAGGAATGTGGATGTTCACATTGCTCGATACTCTCCCCCTCCCCACACTCCTGGGTCCCTAATCGGCTGCCATACATTTTGCTCAAATCGAGTACCTAACATTTCTGAGAGCCCGGTGCTCCTCAAGAGCAAGGAAAACAGACACTGGACCCCATGGACCTACCTGCTGGGAAATGGAGTACACAGTTACCCGATGCTAATCTCGTGGGCTTTGTGTTTCCTTTCTCAAAGGCAATGAGTGATGGTAAACTGGGCAGTGGGGCTGGGAAGACACCGGGGGAGGCTCCTCATGTGCCCTGGCCCAGGTCTTGGCCCTGCGGCCAACATGCGTGCCCCCCTCCCCGTTGGTTCGGACATTGGAAATCGCATGGTAAACCGAAAGGCATATCTTACTGCATACTGCTCCCTTTGAGGAGAGGTGAAAATGAGGCAAGAGGGAAAGGGAGAAGAAAGTGGAGAAAGATGGGGTGGAATGGAGAAGGGGAGAGAAAAAGAAAGATGATTAAAAAATTTTAAGGGGCCAATTCCACCCACACCCATGTGAACAAATTAATGCATCAAGCAAAACACAAAATATCACCACATGGAAAGAGCCATTACAAATAATATTAAAGATAACAGTTGACTTGCTATTAGAATTCACCCCAAGGCTGTATTTACCTGGACTGCTCAAGGGGCTAGCCCTGTCCCCCAGGGTTGGCACAGGACGGTACTGGTGGTTCTTTGAGCCTGGGTACATCCAGTGGTACCTGCCAATTTCCATTTCAGCTCTGCTGTTCACTGCCAATTTCAGGTGGCAAAGAGTCAGTGTCTCTATCTCCAGCAAAGATTCTATATCAGCATTTTAATTTATTCTTTAACCATATCGTTAAAGGAAAGGGGGAGTTTAAAAAAATATGCTCATCCACTTAGCAAGATCAGTTGAGACCGTTGGCGTCTCGTCCTCCATTGGCGAACCTCAGTTTATACAGACCACCCAAGTTATCTTTTCTTTCCTTATTTACTCCCTTTCCCCCCACACACAACCCTGAACATGCTCACTTTGGGAAGATACTATTAATAGTAAAAAGCTGGCTTCCAACAGTACTATTTTTCTGTTTATTTCCTTTTCAGACCAACGGGGCACTATAGTTATTGCCAGTTGCACAAGCAAAGGTGAACGCAGGCTCACTTCTCATAGTGGTGCTCAGTTCTGGCCCTGAAAATCTGGCAAATGACCCCATGATCTGTAGAATCTTGGATGAAATGTCTGTCTTCCCACTGATGTCTGTGGGGCTGTCACTTCAGCCTAAGCACAGTGTGCCAGAGTCTAGAATGTTCTGGATTAAATCCTGTTGCAATGATCTCCCAGAGAAAGGGCTGCTGGTGTTGGGTTCAAGCTACCGCTTATATACATGGTGACATTTGGACCCATGGGGACTCAGGTCTCTATCTGGTAAGATAACTATAAAAAATACCTTCCCTGTTGCCTGGCACAGGGTAAGCCTCCAATAACTGTTAATTGAATTACGATCTTGAAATCCCTTAGAGACCAATAAGGTTGCTATGACTAGTGTATATCTGAGAATCCCATAAAACCTAAAAAAGGAGTTCTGTCTTCTGAGGTACCACAGATATTTAAGGATTAAAAAAAAAATGATTCTCCCATTGATGTGGATAATTATTTCCATCAGAAGATCAGGTTACAACGCTCCATTTCATACCTCAGATAACTGAGGATAAGGACTCCATCCATAAATTATACTGTGGGCAAACGAGTGAACACCCTAACCAGTTACACTAAAAACCTCACGAAGCCTTTATGAAATCCCAACTGAATTCTCCACGATTTCTGAATATTCTCTAGATATTTCAGATTGGGAAGCAGAAGAATATTCTTCTAAGTGATGTTTTAGAGAAAGCCTTTTGGGCCTCAAAGCAAGGTAAAAACATCTTATTTAAAAGGAAAAAAAAAAAAAGTGGGATAAGAGGAACCAGCAGTTAGCTGGCTATGTCGCTGGACTCCCACGTAGTCGACTGCGGTTCGTGTCCCGGACCCGGTGGCTTACACTC